GGAAGACAAATACCGTATGCTAACACATATATATGGAATTTAAGAAAAAAAATGTCATGAAGAACCTAGGGGAAAGACAGGAATAAAGACACAGACCTACTAGAGAGTGGACTTGAGGATGTAGGGAGGGGGAAGGGTAAGCTGTGACAAAGTGAGAGAGTGGCATGGACATATATACACTACCAAACGTAAGATAACTAGCTAGTGGGAAGCAGCCGCATAGCACAGGGAGATCAGCTCGGTGCTTTGTGACCACCTGGAGGGGTGGGATAGGGAGGGTGGGAGGGAGGGAGACGCAAGAGGGAAGAGATATGGGAACATATGTATAACTGATTCACTTTGTTATAAAGCAGAAACTAACACACCATTGTAAACCAATTATACTCCAATAAAGATGTAAAAAAAAAAAAAATGCACATGTGCAGGGGACTGGCAGCACCCTCAAGCCCAGGTAAGGACTCCTGGACGGGAACCCCCTGGCCCTGCTCCCCTCTGTTAGCCCGGACCTCCCCCTGGCAGCCTGGCTTTTAGTCTGGGACACAGTGGTGAGGGAGACAGATGGTAAGTGATTGCCAAACAGATGGCAACTAAGATGGAAATAACTGGGGGTGTTTACCTTGAAAAACACTTCAAGGGAACCTGAGAACTCACAAGAGGAAGAAAGGAGAGATTCACTTTCTGTGATTCCAGCAGGCAAAAAATGTAACACCAGAGGATTAAGTATTTGTTAAATAAATGGGAATTTTAAAAAGTCATTAAACAAAGAGAATGCTTTGTTAAATAAATGAAAAATTAAGAGCCTCTTAATAATGGAGAGCTATCTCCCAAGTGCCCAGCACTCCATCCTCAGAAGTACCTGAGGATGACCATGGTCTGCACGTCACAGCCCAGAGAGGACTTTCTGCAACAATGAAAATGTTCTATAATGTTCTCAATTCAGTAGCCACTCACCACATGTGGCTCCTGAACACGGGAAATGTAGCTACTGCAGCTAAGGAACTGACTTTTACGTTTGGTTTCATTTTAATCCATTTATTTCTTTAAATTAATTTTTTTCTATTGGAGTAGAGTTGCTTTATAACGTTGTGCTAGTTTCTGCCGTACAGCAAAGTGAGTCAGTTACACATACACATATATCCACTCTTTTTCAGATGCTTTTCCCATATAGGTCATTACAGAGTATTGAGTAGCGTTCCCTGTGCTCTACAGTAGGTTCTTTTAGTTACCTATTCTATATATTGTAGTGTGTATATGTCAATCCCTAATCGATTTAAATTCAAGTTTAAGGAGCCACGTGAGGCTAGTGACTACTGTTATCGAAGTGCATGGGTCTAAAGCAGGACTTGGCCAACTTTTCTGTCAAGGGCGAGACAATAAATATTTGAGGCTTTGTAGGCTGCGTGAACTACTCAACTCTGCTGCTATGTGACTGAGGGTGGCTGTGTTTTGATAAAACTTTATTTATAAAAACAGACTGTGGGGGGAAAAACCCAACAGGCTGTGGGCAGGAATGGGCCTGCGGGCCACAGTTTGCTAACCCCTTCCCTATAAGGAGCCAAGCATCATGTAAGTACTGGCCAGGAAGGAGGCTTTTTAGGTACCTTCCAACCCTGACATTCGACAATCTGCAGAAACTAGGTCCTTTCTTCTCCTCCATGGGCCAGGGCCTGCTTCAACAACAAATTTGGGGAAGAGGTCGGAACAGACCCAGAAGGGAGAAACCTGCGTGGCTGGTGTGAGGGGCAGGGCGGAGGGGTGGGGTTTGGCAGGGACAGTACAGTGTGAAGGGAAGGAAGTCCCCTTCAAAGGCCAATGGAAATGGCAGTTGAATGGTCTATGACTGGTAAGCTCTCCCAGCCACTGGGACAGTTCAGAGTGTCTGGGGCCAAGATTTAGGGTCAGTGATTTTGGATGACTTTTCTCCTCTCGCATCCCCACCAAAGGCCCCTGAATGAGCCTGTTGCTTCTTCTACAAGATGGAACCTTCTACAAGGCAATGCACCTGATGTGATTCCCGGTGGACAGTACTAACTCAGGTTTGGGGTTTAAGATGCAGAGGAAGGCCAAGCTAGTTGGCCCACGGAAGGCAGGATGCAGAGGCCGGCAGCCCCAGGGTCCGGACTTACCGTGGGGTTGTGCCAGTTGAAGCAGTGCGTGCGGAAGCGCGACACGGCTGCCTGGTAGCAGTCGTGCGCCGTGAGCGGGGCTCTCTGGGACAGGAGCCCGTCTACCTCGGCATCGGACCCTGAGATCAAGGCGACAATCTTCCGCACTGACTTCTCAATGACATTTCTGGCCTGTGAAGAAACACATCTTTTCCAAATGTATCTTACTTAACGTAGTCTCTCCTGGAATCCTGGACCAGTTAGATGCTTCTTTCATAGAGCCTCCACCCCAGCATGTTGAAAGAGATGCCAACAGATGCTTTCTGCGGCCAAAGGCGCACACGTGAGGCTTCTGTTACAGCTAGAGCCCTTCAGAAATACCTTGCCTTTTAGGGATCTTCGGGCATGATGGAAGCATTTAAATCTGAATGCCTGAAGAGCGGGTATGGCCCAGGCTAAGGAAGTGGGGGGTGCGGGAGGGCATGTAGAAATTGTGCCCCAAAGCAGACTGTTGTCCCATAAGCGGTGCTATGTGTTCACAGGCACCTTTGTCCATTCTGGAAACCATCAGATGCTTAGACAGAAGGATGCAAAGGGTGGACATCATTTTCTTCCCAGATAATGAAAACCAGCATCATTAAGAAGAAAGCTGCTTCCATGTCAACCAAAACTTTCAATCGAGTCCCCTGACCCTCCCGCTCCCCAGCCAGGGTTTGTTCCATTCATGCCCGAATGCTCCCTGCCCACTGTGCGCCAGACCAGCGGGTCTCAACATGTGGTCCAGGACCACGGGGGTCCCCCAGGCTTCTTGGGGGCTCCATAATGTCCTCCCTTTCCCAACTATGTATCTGTGTAAGGTTACATTTCCTTTATATATTTCAACCAGAACAAAAGAGCCCAACAGTGAATACAGACGCAGGTACGATGACCCAGCTGTCTTCCATAACGCCAGGCAGAAAACAGATCTGCAAAAGTGTAGTGATGCCACTCTTCTCACCCAAATTGTTTTTATTTTAGAAAATAATTCTTTTTCATAAAAAATATATTAACACAAAATGGGTTTATTACTATTTCTAAGTGAGTTACTATTTTAAAAATCTCAGTGTTCATTTCTAACGCAGTAAATATTGATATAACCCACACCAACAAAAGCTCTTTGGGATCAATAATTTTAAGAGCGTAAAGAGGTCCGAGAGCAAAGAAATATGAGAACTGTTGTATTACACTGTGGTACCAACAACCACCACAAAACCCCCCATCCTGGTTAATGTACCACGTGTAGGATTGCCAGCTGTCAGGATTATGAGATATATGACTTTAAGACAGATCACACAGATTTTTTTTTTCTTTCCTAGAAAATTCAGGCTGTGTCCCAGCACATCAATCCCTGTGCTGCGCTGATGAGGGGATAGAGTCTACACAGCTGGCTTTGTTGAACGGACAGTCTTCGCCCAGCATCTCGTGAGTACACGCGGGGTGGTTCTAGCCACACAGCTAGAATTTGAAAAGAAATTCGGTCAGTTGCAGACAAACTGATGAGCTGCTGAAAACAAACCCAGTCATCGTAAAAGATTGCTCAAGCATTTTAGGAAGAATTTGGGGCCGTGACTGTGATTTCCTAAGGCAGCAGAAATTTTTTGTGGACTGGATTTTTGTTTTTAAATATGCTTAGCTACTAACTCACCAAGCAGCAAAATAAAAATGTCTTGTAAGCAACTAGGTGTAAAAGAGGAAACACCCATATGCCCATATGCCGTGGCTTCTTGGCAGGAGACAGGCTCCCTCTCTTTGCTTCCTGCTTCCAAAGAGGTCAAGGCCAGTTTACTGACGAAGAATGAAGCTGGCCACTGCCCTGCTCACTCATGTCCATTTTACAGCGAGTACAAAGCCTGGTCTCCTTTCCCATGTACCCGCAGTGTGGCAGGAGGAGGGTGACCCCAGAGCTCTGTCACTTGGCTCCCACCAACACGGATTTATGGTCAGGAGGCAGAGACAGGACTCGCACACGCTGCCCGGCAAGGCTGGGAGCCGCAGCTTCGCCACCACTTACCTCCAGCTGCCTGTCGATCTTCTTGACAAGACGCCTGGCCTCGTGCAGATCATTGGTGCTCATCAGTTTCCTTTTCATGATGGTGAGGGGCACCTCGGGGCTTGGAGTGAGGTCAAGGTGTCTGACTGGGGGCAGGGAGATGGGAGAACTAGCTTTGTGTTTCAGACCCTGAAACTGCATCAACTTCATGGCAGAGATGGACTGGGGAGGGAGGGGGAGAGGGAGCGGGCGAGGGGGTAGGGGGAGGGAGGGGGAGGGAGAGAGAGAGAGAGAGAGAGAGAGAGAGAGAGAGAGAGTCAGTTTGAGTGGGAGGGGCAGATGTGCCAAACGTCCCTTGGGTCCTGGAGTCCACAGCTCCCCGCACGTGGTTTCAGGACCACTGAAGGGTCACAATCGCAGCCTGAAAGCACCGCTTGGTCTTCAGCAGTGGGCGAGGCAACGCATTCGACCACCTGAAATCCACGGATGAGGAACTTCGAAGCTGCCTGGCATCCTCTGCAGAACCGCTACCCAGTTACGCCACGCTCGCACCAGAGTCGTTTCAGCCAGGGGTGACCCTGGGTTGTGCTCACCCCTCCACGCTCACCCGCCTGCCCCTAGTGACCAGCAGAAGGAAGGTGCAGAGCATCTGTCCAGGTCAGAGCTGAGGTCTGGGTCCACTGAGATGGGCAGAGCTAAAGCCACCGAGGGGCGGGGCCGACCTGGCATCAGGGCCTAACAAACGGGCCCGACTGCCTGGCTGTGTTTGCCTGCAGGGGTCACTGCAGACTGGATCCCGATTCAGAGGGAAAGAAATGCTACAAGCAGTCATGTTCCTAAACCAAGCGACGCTAATCTAAAAACAGTTCTAAAACAAAAAATAAAATATACGCACACGTATATAGAAACATAATGCTTAGAAAAGATCCTTCATACCTCCTCAACCAAGAGCGGACGTGGCTAATGCTGAGGAAATTGTAAAGAGAACAGAAAGCTCAGGGCAGAAGAGTTGTTGCTGGTACCCTCCCTCCCTCCAATCCCCCGACAAAGCTGGGGCAGCGCCACCTTTGACCCTGCCCCCTCTGAATTACCTTTCCCTGGCCTTCTTGCTGCTCTACCTCCCCACTACCCCCCCTCAAAAGCCTGGCCAAGCCCACGGCATCCTGAGTGCACTTCTCGTGGCCTGTGACTGCCCTGCTGGCTCCCGGGCCCTCCAATCGACACTCTGCCCGAGAAGTGCTGAAGGGAATAGCTGGACTGACTGCTCACAAGGTCTTCTAGAAGGCCAATGCTCACATCAAAGGAACAGAACTCAGCTGGTGAGCTCTCAGCTGGTGGCAGGCCACCTGGGGGATGATGTCTGGTCATACAGACTACTGGAAGCCCTGCACACATCCCGAGGGCTAGCCCCAGGGGTGGCACCCAAGGCCCAAGCCTTCAGCAGCCACCTGCTATGACCTCTGTCTGGACAGCCCTGATGGACTGACCTATTTTACCACCTAGGTCCCTTCTGAACATAGCTGGGGGGGTGGGGGGTAGGGGCGGTAAAAGTCTCGAATTTATAGCCAAAGGGTCAAGATAACATCCTGCAACTGCAGGAAGGCTGGACCCCGGAGGATTCAGGGTGTGGGGTTCTACAGGGCAAAGCCACAAAACTCACAGGGGAAGCTTTCGATTCAGTAACCTCTCACTGTGTGCTTCGTGCACATGATGGACCCCCTTGTTTTTGCTCCTTATCACCTTGTGCGCTAGGGCTTTGACCAAGGAGGAAACACAGAGGTTTCAGAGAGGTCAGGTAGGTTGCCCAAAGTCTCACAGCTTTGTGAGTTTGAACCTAAGTCTGATTCCAAAGCACAGGCGGGGTCTCCAGGATGGAGCAGCCATGAGAGGCAGAGCCAGCCCTGCCTCAGCCGTTCCTCACCCGGATGGATCCTGTTTCTCTTCACCGGGAGAGAAACGTCCCCAGTGAGTCAGCCTGAGACTTGAGGCATCATCAGAAGTGCGAGGCTCCCCTCCTCACCTTGTTTCCATACTGCATGACGTGGCTGGTGTTGGTGTGGGACTTCACCAGCTGGTACTGCTTGTGGAGGGTCTCTCTGGTCAGATCCTCCTGCGAAAATGAAAACAGTCGAGTCCTTTGATGATCGCAGCTGACAGCTAAGCCTCAGCTAAGCAGCCAGCCCCCAGATGGCTCACCACGTCCGAGTCTTCCATCCAGTTGACACTATACCAGTCCCCCAGGAACGTGGACCTCGCCTCATCATAGTAGCACGCATAGGACGACTCCCTGGGGTTGGCAGCAGTAGTTGCATAAACTACGAGGAATTAAAGACACATTTCAGTCGTGTTTTATTCTCGGCTGTCTGTGGATTCCACTTGAGGCTTGAGTTCCTCCTCCTTTCCTAGTGCAATCAAAGCAGGTCACCTATGATCAGCTCAGGGAGGGCAGGGAGACCTCCTTGTATCCAGCCCTGTTCACTGAGTTTCAGTAACTCATCTAAAACTAAATGTGGAAAAAGAGAAGCCAGCTGATAGACACTGTTAGACAGTGCTAACAGATTTGAGTAGCTCTGGAATCTGGAAGGATATGGACCTCATTTCATTTCCACAGAAAGTGAACATTTATTAAAGAAACACTTAGATGGACTGAACATATAAAATACCTACCATTTACTACCTAGCTACCATGGGCTCAGAAATATGCTGGACAGATGTCATCGCTTAAAATGTAACTCTCCTAACAGACACTATCTTTATCCCCATTTTACAGATGAGTAAATCTGAGGGTCCAAGAGGGTAAGTCACCTGCCCAAGATCAGAGAGCCAGCAAGCAACACATCTCAAAGGACAGAGGTCGGTCCAAAGACTGTGATCTTGGTCTTAAGTAGCCCTACTAGAACCCGGCAGAGCACTACAGAGTTCACATCCAGAGCTTCCATCCCTTCATCCCCTGACCACTAATCCTCCAGGAGAAGAAGGAGCTCAGAGCTGCCCACAGGTATCCCCCTGCTTCCAAGCACTAGGCTGGCCTAGGCCTGGCTTATGTAAGACACTTGGTTCTTCCCATGGGCAGATTCAGAGAATGTCCAATTGCACCGTGTAGCAAGGTGCTCACCCAGCCCAGCTCAGAGGCCAGTGTTCCCACCACCTACCATCGATGTTGGGGGGCAGGTGGCTCATCATGGACCCAGACTCGCAGGCTTCAATGTAGAACACCATCTGGGAGGTGAACGAGACAGGTGAACTCACCCCGCCCAGGCACAGGCCTCTCGCAAATGCTACTTTGACTTTGCGCACTCTCTGGACATGTTTCTTTGATTGTTTTTTTTTTTTTTTTTTGGGAAGGGTGAAATAGATTTTTTTTTTTTGACATCTTTATTGGGGTGACGTGTTTCTTAAGAGTCTTTCACTTTTGCTTTTGGGAGACATCTCTGCTGTAAGAAGCAGAGGCTACAGAAGCTGTTGTCATACAAACCAGAAGGACCCAAATTTATGCATGGCTAATAGAATAAAATGACCTATTAGCTGAAATAATGTAGAAAAATGTGGAGCCATAGGTGATGCTAAAGAAAACTGATCTGCCATCCAACGCAGGGAGCAGTGTCCAAGAGCAAAACACGTTACTAACACATACATGCCTGAGCTACACAGGTTACACACAGGGTGCAAAAGGGGCCAGAGAGGGCTTCCCTGGTGGCGCAGTGGTTGAGAGTCCCCTGCCGATGCAGGGGACACGGGTTCGTGCCCCGGTCCGGGAAGATCCCACATGGCGCGGAGCGGCTGGGCCCATGAGCCATGGCCGCTGAGCCTGCACGTCCGGAGCCTGTGCTCCGCAACGGGAGAGGCCACAGCAGTGAGAGGCCCGCGTACCACAAAAAAAAAAAAAGGGGGGGGGGCCAGAGAGGGCCAAAGGGAAAATAAGAAGGTGGTATTTTCCTCCCCAGCTGCCCCAGATTGGTGACAGCCCTAGAAACAGCAGTCCTCAAAGTGTGGTCCCTAGTCCAGGAGCATCAGTATCACCTGAAAACTCAGAAAGGCAAACCCGCAGGCCTCTCCCCAGAACAACTGAGCCAAATTCTGGGGCTGGGGCCCACACTGTACTTTAACAAGATCGCCAGTGATTCTGATCTAACAGCTGAAGCTGTAGAATCACAAAAAGTTAATCCTGGGAGACCAGAGGTCAAGACTGATTGAAAGGACACCCTTTCCAAAAAACACAGCCAATCCAGAGTTAGGAGGCCTGTCGAAGAACCATGGGCTTGCTTCCACTGCATCCCTCACATTCTTCCCCCAAGGCCACCCCAAGCACTGACATTACCTTTTGGTACTTCTTGTGTTTGTGCATGTAATGGATGGTCTCATTCAGGTCCTTGACGTGAAGCTGAAAGGTAAGAATATGGACATTCAGACCAAACACATCAAGAGAAACCATTTGCTGGATAACCCACTAATCAAGTCTTAATGATGCTTTATAAATTCTTATTTAGAAATCCTGAGAGATTTCTAAATAATCGTGGTGAACAGCATTATCCCAGAACATCATCGAGGGCTTTAATCACATAATAAAAAGGGGAAGCAGATGTGCTTCCTCATCACTTTGTCCGGAGCATTCAGGGACTGTGTTCTATGACCGCACCCAAGTTCAGGGACAGCGAGTCATGCTGTGATGTCAGGAGACACGCAGGGAAAACCTGCCGGAAGAGGTGCCTCTGGATAGATTGCAAGCTGCGAAATGTGACCTCACCCTCAGCGGCCACATACAAACCTACGCTGTAGGATGTTAGAGACACACATCACAGGCGGCCTGCCAACACTGAGGTTTTGTTTCCCATTCTCCCAGCTTGATTTTTTTTTTGGCCGTACCACATGGCTTGGGGGTCCTCCAACCAGGAATTGAACCCGGGCCCTCGGCAGTGACAGTGTGGAGTCCTAACCACTGGACCGCCAGAGTTCCCCCCAGCTTGTCTTTAAAACATTAAGAAAAACTCACATCGTCATTAGGAAACACCAGTATTCCAGTGGCTCCGTGATCAGTGAAGTAAACGAACACGTGGTCCCGGGGGCCACTGCCAAGAGACACGCACACGAGCATGAGAGTCCAAGTGGACCATTTGGACTGAAATGCCACCCCAATCAAAAAACTCAGGAGAGGTCTGAGGTTACAGTCTCCCAGCCAGGTGGGAGGAGGAGCCCAGGAGCCCGCCGTCCAGCCTGTTCCCTCTGCTCCCGCTGGGTGCTGTTCTGAACCACGAGGCGCGTCCCAGAGCCTGGAGGGTCTCAATCACGGCCGGGAGGGTGCTCGGCAGACAGCCCAGGGTGATCTGGACAGCAAGGCCTCTGGCAACAGGGCCTCATCCCGGGCGGCCACGCTGTGCCAACAGATCTCTCCGAAATGAGTAAGGGAGCCAGGACACACCGCCAAGCACGGTCCTGCAGCTCCGACTGCCCCTCCGGGCCCCTCGGCCTGCACACGGCCTGGGACGCCCACCTGCGCCCCCTCACCAGGCTTCCACTCAGAGGGCCCTGCTTCAAGGTTGCAGAGATGCAGTAACTCACTCGGAGGCAATCTGGTTCATCCCGCGCAGATGTCCGTCTCTGCTCTAACTCACACAAGCTACTTGTGCCCAGGCCTCCCCTCGGGCATAAGGGAAACAGCACCATTTGCCAAGTACCTGAGACTGTCTGAAGTCATGCTCCTAAGGCCCCTGACATCACGTCAAAATGCTGAATAAAGAGATGCTAAACAAGACATCTCTAACCCACAGCCAACAGGGCAAGCAATGGGATGAGTTTTCTCCCATACGGAGGTTTGCTCTGAACTTACAAATGTCCTCCTCCCACTGGGTTGACCCGCCATCAGAGCACAGGGTCGGCAGGAGGCGGGGCGGGGGCCCTACAACCTGATTGGCCACAGAGCCTCACGCCTGTCTTGGCGTGTTCCCCTGGTAGTGGAACCGACCAGCACCAGGATCCAGACAACAAACACAGCAGGTTTAAGTGATGGGGAACATTTCACTAAGACTAACCTGGGACCCTGGATCACAGGGTTAATTCGTTACAGAAATGGGCTGCCAAAAGAAGCCACCAGGTCTGTGCAGCCTGTCAGGGCAAAGGTCCCCACGCTGCCATCTCTCACAGGTAAATAGTCCGGGAACAAAGGGCAAGGCCTGTTTGAATTCTCAGTTCTGGAGTACCACGTCATTCAGAAAAGTGTGACAGCCATAAAACAGACATTACCTCTTCAAGACCTTTCCAGATCCTTTGCCCTTCACTGCCTCTGCATCACCTCTCAACACAGCAAGGAAGTTTTGCGGGGTGACATCCTACAAAGAATGGGGAGTTGAAATCAGATGCAGCTGTCACTCCAAATGAGTGCGTTTGCTGAGTCTGTCGCAGAGGGCCCAGGCCACCGTCCACATACCTCCAAGGCTTAAGGTTTAAGGGCAAACACTTTGCAACCAAGAAAGATCCAGTGTTTCCTAGGCATGTGCATGACCTCGTCTCAAGTATCATCTTGTCTTTGGCTGATGCCAACTCAGCAAGCCTGCCATTCCTTCTTGATCGTTATAAAGTTCATGTGGAGAAACCCAAAGATGTCGGTAGGCAGGGGCAAAGAGCAGAGAAGAGCACACTGCCTCAGAGAGACAGCAAAGCAGGCGACAGAAACATCAGCACCGACCTTTGCAACCAGCTTGCCTCCTAAAAGGCCAGTTCCCAAGGACACTCAACGTCCTTAAAGGGGATTTTGTAAAACGGATATGCAATCGTTAAAAAAATGTAATACAGAAAAGCACAAGGAAAAAAAAACCATCAAAAATCCCACCACCTAAATTCCAAATGTTTCCCTATATAACTATATAGAAACAATTTTATAAAAATGGAATCATCTATATGACACGTATGATGTGTCTGATTTAAATGTTCTTGAATTTAAAAGAGAAAAATGAAACTGAAAGAACTGCTAAACTTCAGACTTTCTCTGTCACAAGGAATATTAGTTTTGATCCCTCTGACATTACGAAAAAGAGACTCTGAAATCCATGAGGCTGAAGTCATAATGGTGTTTTTAAAAACGTGTCAATGTATACAGCCTCAATCGACCGGGAAGCATGTAATGTTCTGGAAGTTATATACTATAATAATTAATGAAAAACTATCTTACAAAATTTAGAGATATATAGATATAGATATAGATATATAGATAGATATAGAGAGATATATAGATATAGATAGATAGACAGATGTAGAGAGATATATAGATATAGATATAGATAGATAGATATAGAGAGATATATATAGAGAGATATAGATATATAGATAGATAGATAGATATAGAGAGATATATATAGAGAGATATATACATATCGTACTAGGGCTGATGCTGAGAAAACTGATTTTCAGAAAAGGGCACGGATAATCTATAATCAGATCACTGGCAATACCCTAAGAAAATCAGGTATTATGGAAGGAAATCTATTATGAGGCTTAAAGTACAACAAGATTAGAAACTAAGGATCAGTAGACTACAACTAACGTCCTTTTTTTTCCCTCTGCTTTCTTTCAAAATTCTCAGAAATTACACCTCAAGCACAAATCTTAATACAAACACGAAACATTAACCAGAAATCAGTCTAATGAGGTTCTGATCCCAGAAGTACAAGAAAGAGGGAAAAATCATCACTGAAATGAAACAGCAGACCCCGCTGGCTCCGACCCCGTGATGCGCCTCACCTCGCCCGTGTAGTCCTTTAGAACCCCCTCGTACACGTCTGAGCCGTTGGGCCTGTTGATCACAATTCCTGGGGTGGGATTGCTGAAAATCAAAGGACACGAGTGAAGCACACAATTTGACGTATCTCTGAAATCTATGTCTTCATGAATACGCCCCTGTTACGCTTTAAAATACTAAACGACCGTGGTTGTCACAGACGTTCCTCATTGCCTCTGAGGTCACCAACGTGTTAGTGATTTTAGCAGCTCGGGGGTCTCGGTGTCCCACAACTCCTGAGTTCCTGGCAGGGGCAGCAAAGGACTGAGCTCTGCAAACCGAGGACAGGGACCCAGGCCCCTGTGTGCCTGGCTTCCTGCTGGACACCAGATTGCATCTTGGGGGCAAGATGTCATCAAGAGACCTCTCAGAGCAAAACTACTTTCAGAAAAAGACAGAACAGAAAACAAGGCTTTAATACAAGAGCTTAGGCGTTAAAGCTCAGGATGGATTATGAGCTGTTAACGTGATCACAGTACAGGGCCATAGTCTGGGAACCAAGGAGCTGGGAGACTGGATAGGGTTAGGGTTAGTACCCATACAAGGAGCTGGGAGACTAGAGTGG